GTGGGCGGTGGGCGGTGGGCGGTGGCACAGGCCTGTGCCCCGATTAACAAACGTGCCAGCTCCCTGTGGAGAGGACATCACACATTATAAAAGGTGCAAATGTGCCTTTTTCTTTGCTTTATGCAAGCGTTTCCGTCTTCCCGTCTTCCCGGTGCCGGGCAGCTGGCTAAGGTTAGATGCAGGCCCTGTGGAGGGTAACTTCCAGCTGAGCCCACGCCACCAACCTGGGGCAGTCAGTGGGCTTGGGCCTGACGGAGCTGGAAACACAGTCGACATTCCTGTGGATGCTGCTGGAGAGCTGGCTGCCTGCTCCTTGGCAAGAGCCAGAGACCAGACACGACCGGAAGGGCAGGGAGACGGGCAGTGCCAGGGCAGTAGGGGGAGCAGGGGGAGAACCCACCCGTATGTAGTGTGAGCTCAGCGGGCAGGGCCCAGGTGAGAAATGTCTGCGTCAGAAGCGGCGGGCGGGCGGCAGCCCCCCACACCCTCCGAACGGGGACCGGCCAGCTGCGGCCGCCGAATGCCCTGCCTCCCTGTCCTGCAGCTGCTGTTAAAGCCCAAGTTCAGCAGCGTGGAGAAGATCAAGACGATTGGCAGCACGTACATGGCAGCTGCCGGACTCAGCGCCCCCTCGGGGCATGAGAACCAGGTACTCGGCCACTCCGGTGGCCTCGGTCCCAGCCCCATGAGGTGAAGTTCAACAGTCCCAGACCCCTCACCTAACGGGGCACCTCCATGCCCTGACCGTGAGGGAGGGGGTGGTGTGGGGCAGGTCCGGGCCCTCTGCAGGAGCCCTGGCCCACCTCTGCCGCCGCCAGACCCTCCTGTGGGTCTCGTGCCCATGTGGTGCCCCAGATCAGGGTCCGCAGGCCTGTCCACCTAACCTGGTCAAGGCAGAAAGACGGGTGTGACCCGCCCTGGGGTATGGCCCACCCGGGGTGTGACCCGCCCTGGGGTATGGCCCACCCGGGGTGTGACCCGCCCTGGGGTATGGCCCACCCGGGGTGTGACCCGCCCTGGCCCTGACAGCGCTCGGTCCGCAGGACCTGGAGCGGCAGCATGCCCACATCGGCATCATGGTGGAGTTCAGCATGGCCCTGATGAGCAAGCTGGACGGCATCAACAGGCACTCCTTCAACTCCTTCCGCCTCCGCGTCGGTGAGGGCTGCGGGCGCGCGGGGCTCCGTGGGCCCTCTCAGGCCCACCTACTGGGAAAGGTGCTGGAGAGCCCTCTGATTTTACAGCCCCAGGGGTGGGTAATTATTCTTTCCTTGCACATCACTGACTCGGTTACGTTTGAAAGTTTTAATAACACATCCCTACAGAAAATGGAGAGCCCCAGATCCCCACCTGTAAATAGGTGAGCTTAAAATACACCGAGCACCAAGTTACTTACCTAAGTGGTCACTGGTAGCCAACAGGCCGTTGACTCCGTTGAGGGATCAGCAGATGTAGAACAGAGCGCCACCCAGACTTGGGGCGCCCTGCGGAGCCCGCCTGGGGAAGCACCACTCCAGCCTGCCTTTACCTGTTCCGCAGGCCCTCCCTGGGCTGGCGGTGGGCTCTGTGGCCTCCCCCGAGGGACGAAGCCCGAGGCGTGGCCTCTGCCACCTGCCAACTGCAAACATTCTCTCTAGGCATAAACCACGGGCCCGTGATTGCTGGGGTGATTGGGGCACGGAAGCCTCAGTACGATATCTGGGGAAACACGGTCAATGTTGCCAGCAGGATGGAAAGCACTGGAGAACTGGGGAAGATCCAGGTAAAATCCCTCTGGGAAAAGGGTGACCAAGGAGGAAAGCCCTACGCGGGGTGAGGGGACCTGGCCTCGATCGCTGGGAGTCGAGCCATCGAGTCCTCCAGGGAGTGGATGTGCTGCCTGCTGGCTGGTCTCCACCCGCTGTCCCACCGCAGGTGCTCCTCCGGCTTCTGCAGACTTGTCTTTCCTTCCCAGGTGACCGAGGAGACGTGCACCATCCTCCAGGGCCTCGGTTACTCTTGTGAATGTCGAGGACTGATCAACGTCAAAGGCAAAGGGGAACTGAGGACTTACTTTGTCTGCACAGACACTGCCAAGTTTCAAGGACTCGGGCTGAACTGAGGGAGGCTGGCAGGGGCAGAACATGCCGGAGGCCGACTTCCTTCCCTGAAGAGCCGACGGGAGACAGCCCGTGCCGGTCACGCAGGCGTTCTGAGGGTTTGGCCACCAGCACCTCCTGACAGATGGCAGTGGGTGGCTTCCTTGGGCTTGCATGAGAGGACGTCTTAGACACGTGCGCCAGCCCCCAGCGCGAGGCGACCACGGAGCCTCCCCACGCAGGGCAGCCAGCACCTGTGTGTGCTGTTGGCGTCGGGGTCGGAACGCAGCCCACACAGCAGGAAGAGGCTCTGGAGCTCAGATGCCCCTTCAGGTCCTGGCTGCCGTGGAGGCCTTGGAGCGTGACCGCGCACACCGCTCACGGCTGGGGAGCTGCACAAGCGACACCTGTTTCTAGGTACAGGACTAAGACAGGTGTCAGGGTGGGTTGGGGACGCCTTTCGTCCCAGTGGACCAGCTACGGGATTCTCTGTTTCTCACCCAGGCATTCTGGTAAACAGCTGGAAAGTGTGTTCCACGTCGATAAATGGTTTCAAACAGTAGGAAGAAAAAAACACCAGTGTAGACACTGGCACGTGTTTGTTTTAAATGGATACATTATTAACAAGGTTTATCCTTTTGACACTTCTCAGACGCTAGACAAACCTCTTCCCTGCAGCATATTCTCTGCCTCTCTAACCACAGCCTGTAAGTAGGACCGCTGTCCAGTGTCAGCTTATGGGATCGTCCCAGCTGTGGGATGCAGTTCTGCGGAATGTGGCCCGGAGCAAGGCGGCAAGGAGTGGTGTGGCCTTGGCTCTGAGTCAGACTACTTTGATTCCAGCCTTTGGAGGTTCGGTTCAATAAGCAAAAAGCCTAGGAAGTTTGGCACAACCCACTTCTCAGCTCTCCTCTGACTCCTTCAAGCTCTCCCCTGCAAGTGCAATACATCTTTTATGCTGGACAGGAAGGAATGGAGTCTGGAGAGCATGGACACCTCTGGCACCCTCCCGTCCTTTAGTCCACGTGCCCCGAGGAGCTCCAGCCTAGGAGCACGTACTCAGCGAGGGCACGTGGAGCGGTCCCCTTCCCTGGGAAGCCGGCCCTCTCAGTTGCAGAGATGCTCTTGTTCTCACCGGATGAATCAGGGCAAGTGCAAAGACAGGTCTGTGAGCTTCGACTCACACAGACTCCGAAGTCAAAGCAGGCTCCACAGCGAGATAACCAACCTGCTGCTCCGTTTTCTGAACTGACTGCACTGCCCCATGACCAGAGCCACCCTAGGACTTAATGCAGGTGAATGTCACTGCACAGCAGGACTCTCAGCTACAGTCACCCACGGGCCCTGAGATTACAGAGAACCGTGCACACAGGAGACTTCAGGAGGTGACAGGGTTGCAGGTGGGACGACTGGCACCGAGGGCTGAGGGTCAGCTGCCAGTTGGTCCCTCAGCAGTGTGTAGCCAGGGCAGTCTGCTGTGATACGCTGTGTCTCGCGGGGCTTGCCCTCACTTGCACACAGGTGCTGGGGGGCTGGTGGCAGCGCTGGTGTGTGGCCCGTGACCGGCACAGAATGAGCAGATCACTAGCACTTGCTGGGTAAAGGAACTGTATGGCAGAGATGCTGTAAGGGACTGAGCCTTCCTTAAACCGCCTTTTTCACACACCAACTTCTTATAAAAAGGGCTGGCCTCCAACCTATCCTTAGAAACGGCGGCGCAGGCTGTCCGCAGGCTCTTCCGGAGTCAGGCCGACCGCCGCCCGGATGCACACCAGTGTGCGGGCCTCCTGAGCTGGGCATTTCCTACTTTCTCATATTCAAGCTACGTCTTTCTTCCAGCAACAGAGATTCTGATCGGGAGTCTAAAAAATAATTGGTTACCATTAAGGTATGTTTATTTCCAATTAAAGCACTGTGCTCAGATGAGATTAATCTTCGATGATCACAGTATATAACTGACCATAAGAGTCACCTGCAGTTATTTTTATAAACCGGTTTTCTAATTACCACGTCATTCCTTCACAGGTGTCATTTTGTTCTGTGACAAGTCTCTTTTTAACACTGACCTTTCTATGGGTTAAGGACCTGCTTAAGTTTCCACTAAGGTGGCCTCAGTGACTCTAGTGAAAAGTCCCCCCGAGGTTCTCTGATTTAACTTAAGGAAACTTTCTAATGGGGAAAACCTTTACCCACTGCACGTGCGCATAGTAGGTCAATGTACAGAACTACTCAAATAGCTAGGGGTTGTTCTGTACACTGAGTATTTATAGATCTGCAGTGTTTGTTTTAAAATGTTGTGTTTCATTTTTATAAAGTACCAGTGTTCCTACTTGGTTTAGGTTTTCATATATTAAATTACCAATAAGGAAAACCGGAATGTCTTGACTTTGTTTTCTTGGTCTTCAGGAACTTATCTTAGCTAAAGTAGGGTTAAAGTTCAAGGACTGTGACTGCTGATTGCATCTGAGCCAGGAGGAAGCTGCACGATCAGCCTCCTGAGAACTCTGTCCCAGTCAGCTCCACCCTACTTTCTAAAGCTCCGTGTGGCAATAGGCCCAGCCATATGCCTTCCTCCCAGGGGCCACTTTTAATCATCAGGTGTGACCAGGTAAGAACAATTTGGTTCTAGTTTAACCAAAACTAGACTGTGGAAAAACGAGGGATTTCAGTTATTTGGAGGACTTGTTTCCTTTAATGGATGGTCATGAAATAGGCACTGAGCTGATATGTATCGCCCAGTTTGTAGTCCCAGGGTCAGCTTTGGTATGCAACAGAAGGCCAGTCCAAAGTTTAATTGTTCCAAAGTTTAATTAAAAACACAATTTACAAATATTTAATATCTTCTGAAAAGCATTTCCAAACTAAGAATGAAAAAATATGTACATAATATATAATCAAATACCAGTTAGCCTCAACTCCCATCGGGTTCACACTCAGCAACATCAATCTTTTTAGCTTCTTCAAAATCTGAAAGAAAAAAATACTTCCTTTAGCATTTTTTCCCCTTTCGGTGGAAAGGTAGTGTCCAGAAGGGGAAGTGCTGTCAGCCCTTCCTTACAGGTACAGGTTAAAGCTATGTGCGTTATTGTGATCACTGTAGCTCTTTTTGCAAATGTGTAAAACCTTCAATTCTGTAGAGACATGGAAAGAACTAGAAGTAGTTCACACACTAAACATGCAAAGGTAAACCCTGTCAAAGGCCGTTGCCCTCAACAGGGGCACGCACCTTCTGTGAGATCCACCAGGCTGCTTTCCACACCGGGGTGGGGGATGGAAATGCCCATCGCTTTCCGAACCCCATAAGTGCTGACGACATCACCCGGAGTTACTTGCTGTGCAAGTTCTTTAAGGTTATTGGTCACCTGTTCAGCTAGAAAAAGAAAATCAAAATATTCTAGGTACTGAAATGTGGTTTCTTTAGATAAAAGTTAAAAGAACAAGTACAGAAGTATAAAGATTGAAGTGTCCACCTTCTCGACACTCAGTGTCACTCTGAGCCCTCCTCGCGCCAGAGGTGCAACCTACCGAGATGTATCTCTCTGTACGAGGGGCCCAGGAGACAGACCATGTTGGGAGGGGGCCTGGTGCTCAGGCGCTCGTTCTGGGCTTCCTGGAGCTCCCGGAGCAATCTGGTGGTCTCGTCCAGTTTTCTCTGGAACACCTCAGCTTCTGTGGTGAGACAAAGAACACATTACACCTGGCCGGTTTGGCTCAGTGCTTAGAGCATTGGCCTGTGGACTGAAGGGTCCCAGGTTCGATTACAACCAAGGGCACGTCCCCAGCTGCAGGCTCGATCCCCAGCCCCAGTAGGGGTGTGAGCGGAAGGCAACCAGTCAATGTGTCTCTCACATCGATGTTTGTTTCTTTCCCCCACTTCCACTCTCTTGGAAAAACAATGGAGAAGTATCCTAGGGTGAGCATTAAAAAAACCCAAACACATCCTGGTGTTTCATCTTGAGTGGTAAACTGAGTCCCATGCTTTGGGATTTACTGTTTAGCCCCCTCAGTGAGACCCCACCACAGGCGTGCTGTGCTGTACTGTCCCTGAAGCCTGGTCAGTGGTGAATGGCTCCATTATCTGCACTAAGGGGACAGTCAGTCTTGATGGCCGTTATCAGGTAGAGCTCCCATCAAAACCCCCTGGAGACACTCACCTTCGGAGTCAAAAACTTGGATGGGAGCACCAAAGTTTGCTACCGCTTCCAGGGCTGTGAGCCTGTCCTGACCACTGGAGTCTAACCGCCCCGCTGGCTCTATTTCTGTAACCTGCTTGGGAAAAGGAAAGAGTGAGTCGAGCTTGCTAAGCCCTGATAGTGCTAGAATGAGAAACCAGTGAGATGGCCTGTTTATAGCCCAGTTATCCCACCTGCTCACTTTGCAGTTATAATTTGATGTGTATAAAAATGTCATTCCCAAAGCCTGGCAAGTGTCCATAAATCCATCCTCGCTAAGGCAATGGAGTGTTTTATACAATCTGCAACATTTGTTTCACATGCCAGCAACTCAAAATATAAGACTGACAATAGCCTAGGACTGCTGAGGCTGTGAAGAGCTTTCAGTCACTGTGACCAGGCCTCCTGTCCCACAGCTCACAGGCCATGTCAGCCCCCCCAGCCTGGTCACCTACGCTCCTGTAGGAGACCTTGTACACAGAGACTTCCTGGGTCTCCTCCAGGCCCCAAAGCCAGGCTGTCAGTATCACATGGGAGAAGTAAATCCAAAAAGGGTGGCATTTGAATTCTGGAATCATATAACTTGTTTCTATAACCTGCTTTTTAGGACTAGGTCAAATCAGGTAAGTAACCAAAGTTAATGGCTCCAGTAAGGCTGTGGTATTACACACGAAGCTCAAACAATCCGAACACCCGGTTTCTCTACTGACACACGGGCTAAAGGGTGTGGTGGAAAAGCTGTCAGTATCCAAAGTGGCCCGCCACTACTGGCCCTCGCAGCCCTGTCTTCCCCATTCCTAAGATTTGTTTCATTCTTGCCCCTCGCCAAGCACATGACTCTGGGCTCCTGTCCCTGAAAAGGACATGTGCAAACACAACCTACACCTGTGTCTGTCTTTACTTGATCTCACATCTTCAGGTTTCTGTCCCCGCAGTTAAAGGGCTAAAGTTTCTCTTTTCAAACAAAGCTTTAGCTTTACTGTTTGGGTCTTTTAGTTTATAAAAAATACTTAAATGGAGAATAAAGAATATGACCACCTCAATTTCCTTCACTGTGTCGAGTGTCCTGGTCTGGCCTTCATCTTCAGGCAGTGACTGTAGAATAAAGAAAAAGAATCTTTTATTACAATGTATAGAGAAAGGCAAAGATTAAGGAAACAGAAAAATAGCCAGAGTTTCATGGCAAGAGAAAAGGAACAAGAATATGGATTACGGGAATATAACTTTTTAAACCAAGAAAGAATTATATATAATTACTAGCATTTTGAGAGCATACTGTGAGCCGGGAATATCTACTACTAGTGACTTCACGATGGGCAATTCTGTGCCTGATCCCAAAGCTGCACATGTTCAAGAAGGTGTCTGGTGAGCAGCATAAGTACCTGAATAGAGTCTGTTTTCAACAGCAGGTCAGTCTCCGATGAGAAAGGAGGAGGACCTCTAGGGACTGTCCTGTGCTAACAGAGGCGATGCTCTCAGACAGAAGAGGGCTGCTGTGAAACACTCAAATGCTACAGAGGACGTGCGGCTGCCCACAGCCCTAGGCCTGAGATAACGCACGTACACAAACCAACAAAGACGTCACCTTTTTCTGAAAGGCTGTATTGTGATTTATTTAACCAATTCTCAATTTTTAAAAGTTATAAACAATATATCCTTATATATAACTTTTTTCTTATTTTCTAAAATATATTCTGAGAATAATAACTTAGGTCCAAGGGCAGAGAAACTGTAAATCAGAACACTGCCACATGAGCCAAATGAGAGCTTTTCAATTTTAGTTCAAGACTGTTAACAGACGGGAAGGGCACAGTAAAAACACTGTCCTGATGTGAACGTGACCGTCTGGGTTGGTGTTCAGACTGCACAGCAGCTCTCAGAACCCAAGGAGCTGACTCAGCTTCACTGACAGGTCACCCCGGACGGGCCCACAGGTACGAGGAGGGCAGAGGACAAGGCAACTCCAGCCACAGCCACCAGGAAGTCATGACCCCCAAGAGATCCAGGTTCCCATGACTATGGTGACAAGGACATTCTGGAGATCAACTCCCCTCTACACCAGAAGGAACATTTTCTGGTTCTAATCTTTGGCCAAATCTTTAAATTGTCCCAGATCATGAGCTCTGTCCAACGGAACTGAAGGCAGTTTACAAGTGTTAGTAAAAGACGGCAACAAGGAAGCCGCTTCCTTCGTAGCCTGAGGTTCCACCATGTTATTACTGTGGAATAAAGAAAAGGAATTCCCTAGCATTTCAGTCAGCTCAGCTTGCAGCCAGCAAGCAGGACTTCCCTGTCAGGGTTCAGGGCCCCGGAGTTGCTCACCCCACTTCTGACTCCTGCAGGCCCAGGATCAGATGATGACAGTCCTCTGCCCTTGGATCCTGGTACCCACATTATCCATTTCCGTTCATTGTCCTCCACCCATGGGCTCCACCCGGGCCGGGCTGTCTTCTCAGGGGAATGGAGTTCAGCCGTCACACTGGTTAAGCCCATGGTTTCATAACACCACATGACTAATGCTTGAGCACCAATAACAAATTACTCTGTTTCTTTAGCATTCTTACCGTCTCCAACTCTTGCAGGGTTCTAGAATGCCCTCCTTTAGTTAGAACATCCAGTAAACTATCTGCCATGACGTATGGATAATCTTGGCATGTGGCCAAAAACTCATGGATGCTGAAAGAGAGCGTGTTGGGAAAGTCACTGTCATATAAATCATCTCCACGGGCTCAACCTTCCTATCACAGCCAACTGTTTCTATCAGATGCCCTTCATCTATACACCACAATGTCAAACTTCCTACCTAGGTACAACACTGTATTTACGTATTTGCAGCGATACATTCATCATCATGACAGAATGAAACAATATCAATACAGTGAAGTGAAATGCTGGGGAAACTGTCAAAGAAAAATGAGCTCAGTGATGGAGGGTCCAGGGCTCAGCTGGTAAAGTTCCATGCTCCTCCCGGGGTGATTTTATCTACCTCATGACTTCCACAGGTACTAAGCCTCTCAGTCAGCCTCATGTCTGAACCACACCCTTTAGATAACATGTCTGTAGATCAACACTTTAGAAAAACGTGGCACTCACAATACTGATGAGCTGGTGACTCACCTGAAATCGCTGGGAACATCAGAGTCGTCTTCCCCGTAGGTGGAATAGATGAGATCAGAATCGTCCTTGCTGATATTGGCAAACGTGGAGTCATAGTGTGGTGCATAAGAACCGTAGGGCCCATAATTCAAGTACAATACTGTTGATGAAGATTCAGCACTTCAATACTATGCTTTATTTGTAGCGGTCTATTTTCTGCTTTAGTGAGCACTATTCCCCTCTAACTTGGCTACTTCCACTGGTACACAAACCTAAGGTAGACATTTCTCCCAAACAGATGCTTATGAAGTAGCAGCTCAGGTGAATTTGCCCCCACAAAGGGGAGAGGAGATAAGAATGAAACTTATTTTGAACACTAATACCTGACTTTCCAGGTCTTCCGAAGTTAATAGCTCATTAAAATCGAAAAACCACCAGCAAGTCAGTGAACGAAGCAGCAAATGGAAATTGTCCTGGTGGAGCCTTACCTGGAGTCACTTTGTTCCTTTTGTCTTCCCTGAAGCCCTGCAGGGTATTCACTCCAGACTGAAGCCGCCCAGTGGTCATGCCCAGCCTCACAGGGCAGTAGCCGGGCTCTAGAATAAGACGGGCGCAGTAAGACGGGCGCCACAGAGGCAGCTCGAGTGGCAGTGAGCTGAGTGGAGCTCTGCACAGCGTGGCACACGCAGCTTCATGCCATCTATGTGACTGCAAGGAGGCGGGGAGTGCTTACCATCCCCATTTTTAACATAGAACCTGAGCTTAGAAAGGCAGGCATGTGGCCAGGACACAAACCTAGTCCTTCTCATTACTCCCTACTGCTTCCTGGAATCCTCCATAATCATGCTGCATTCTGCTTCAAAAGAAGATTGAAAAGTTGGACCTTTTAAGGTTATGATGGAAGTAAACCAGGAGAAAACATCAATAAAAGACTAAGGGAAACTACCTGATTAAAGACAACTCCTAACACTCAGAAGGAATATATACAGTGCGGAATAGCCTTTAAAGAGGACCTCTGTAAACCAGGAGCAAGCCCGAGGACAGTGAGGATCTGAACTAAGCTGAGGTGTCGGAGAAGGTGTGGCCTCTGGCCACGCCCAGAGAGGCCGAGCTCGCTCTCCTGGGTTGAGAGTCCTGGTTTTTTGTACCAAAATGGCCCAGTGGTAGCAGCTACTGCTAAAGCTGGTCAGTGTGACAACATACGTGAGACACTGACCATCTACAGCACATCTCTCCCTCTCAGGAAGCAGCCCTGAGTTGGTGTCCTAGGGGGTACTGGCGCCTCCACCAGGGAGATGAAAGTGAGAAGAGGGCATTTTCCACTTACACCAGTAAGCTGGCCCTGGGGGAGCTGCTGGGAGCGTTAGGAGCCAGGTCAGCTTTGGCCAGTTTGCTAATGTCTATAGGGACTGGAAAACCAGGAGACCCGACCAGGGGCAGAGACCAGACCCTTGGCTACAAAGAAAGGAAGGGGCAGATCTCACGGTGTCACCTAAATCAAGTCAGCTGCATCTCCAAATACTGAGGTTTCACTACAGCTATACTAGAAAGAGCAATGTTCTCGACCCAGTGGCAGTTTCTTTGGCTCAACACCATATAAATTCCTACCATAAAAGTTCACGTGAAAGTAGAAAATGAGCTTTGCTTTGAAACTGGTGTCTCTTCTTCTGCGTGAAGGTGTCCTGGAACATTTCCTGAACGGAATGCATGCTAGCACCAACAGGCTCGTCTTCAAGTGCGTCAGGCCCCCTGCTTCAAGGTTTCCTTACCTGTGGTCCCCACTCCCTTACCATTCTGGGATCAACCTAAACATCACCTGGCTAAGGAAGCCTCTCTGACCCTGAGACACCAGGGAGGCACCTTCTGCTCTATGCCACACAGCTGCTCCGTCCCTTTTTGGTGCTGACTCACGGAAGAAAAGCTGCCACCTCTACATGTAAACTTGTTGGCCCATCCTTTCCCTGCCCCAGAGCAAAGGGGAAGGAACTGGTCTCTCTGTTCTGTTCCCTACTATTCACCCACCCCACTCCCAGCTCCTAAGACAGTGCCTTGTCCACAGTAAACAATAAACATTAGAGAATATTTCCTGAAGTATACGATTTCTATTGTTACTCACTTTGGTATCCCCAATTACCTCTCTCATAATGGAAGTGTGAAATGGGTATTTATAAAATAAATGAACATTCTCACATTTGCTCATTACAAGATTATTTCCCCTCAGATGAATGACAAGAAGTTCCTATTTTTACATCAAATTTAAAAATATCTCCTATACTATTTCCAATAAAATATCATCTGAGAAAATAAAAATATGACTGAAGTTATGAAACAGAGATTCTCGAACTTCATAAACTTTCCACCGACCTGTGAAAGACCATGCTGTTAGGTGTGTACTACTCCGTCACTATGATAGCAACATACAGTCAGCTGAGTTTATGATGTCACAACCTGAGGGTTCTGAGATCCTGGAGAAATAACTGAGCATACAGACCAGTCTCTAAAGAGCAGGGCTAGAAATTACTGTCTCATTTTTTGGCTTTGTTAATAGTGGGTCTGATATCTAGGGCTTTGTGTTATCTATATAGTACTATTTTAGGATGAAGAGAAGTTAGGCTAGCTGTTAACATGAAATACATGATGTCTACCCAAGTTCTTTGTACATACTGATACAGCCAGACTGATCAATATTCACGCTTGCTGCTTTATAATGTTACCACAGGTTACACTGCTCTGACAAACAGCAAGCTTGTGTGCAGTCTGATTCTGAGAACCCACCTCCTACAACTGGATCCACAGGGTGCAGAAGTCCCAGCGTCGTCGTTCCGTCTGGTTTTCTTCTCTCAAATTCACACTGCAATGACGCAAAGTATTCAGACAGCACAAATGGTTTTATGTATATCATATGTATCACACTAGAAAGCTTTACTCTAGTCAAACTTACATTACAGGTAGCTATCACATTACACTCAGATACTGACTTTCACACCTGTTTCCTATACACAGGCGCTGACGGGCTAAACAGATGATGGTTAGGAAAATCTCAGGATCTGAAACCACTATGTGGGTGCTAAGGCCCCCTAGTTCTGCCGCCTCTGCTTAAAAAGGAGGACACTGAAGACCAGGAGAGGGGGAGACCTGCCCAAAGTCACATATTACTCCATTTGGTTTTAAAACCAGAATGCTAAACAGTATGATTTCAAAAGACCAGAGTATCCATATTTTCTTGTTAAGCTTAAAATAAAGTATGTCATTCATTTTCCAATTTTAGAACACACTGAAAATCCAATAGAAGAGGGCAAGATTAATCATGTAATTGACAAATATTAATTTTTCTGATCTGAGTGTTGTGCTGAGGAGCTCTAGTGCAGATGTGGGTTAAAAGTACACAGAATTTAAGGACCATTCAGACCACTGGGTCAGTGGGTACTGAGGAGATAGGAAAAGCTCCGGCACCTGACTATTAACCAGCCGCCGGGTCAGCTTCCCTCCGGACTCCTTCACGATGCGGTCAAGCTGCTCCTGCTCTCTTTCTAAATTCTGGCTCTTCACTTTATCGTCAAGCACATCTTTGTCTTTCCTGAAAAAGGTAAGGTGAAACATTGAAACTAATTCCAAATATGAAAGCAGCTGAGATGGTGACGCGTTATCATCAGCTAGACTCTGTTCCCTAATGAACGCCTGGGGAGGCCCCGAGTGAGCAGACAAAGGCAAACCCGTATGTCAGCTCCCTTCCTCCCTTTGGGTCCAGTGTTATGTACCTTGAACATGTTCCTCAGTACAGTCACAAAAATGAATTCTACCAAGAATATATTTTGAAGGAAGAGTGACATTTTAAAGTTTGATTTTTCATAATAAATATGCATTTAAAATATATAAATCTTAGAAACAGAACAGAAACTTGTCACAAGTTTACTTTTGTTGCATTGTGACAGCAGAAACCCCAAACTGCTAATTAAAACCCTTTTCCGGAGTCAACAGTGAGGTGCTGGGCTTCAGGGCTGGTCGCCAGAGGTGTGCATGGGGCCAGCCCTGCTGGCTGCTGCCTGATGGGGCTAGTGGGAAGTCACCACCCCACAGGCTGCCGTCTAGTGGACACACACACACCCCTCTCAGTGACAGCCGCCTATTCAGGAAGTAGCTTTAGCCCTGCTTAGGCTTAGCTACTGTCTCAACTCCTTTATGGCATGCGGTAATGAATACACACCATCCCCTCAACATGTACTTCTACTTACCCAAACTCACTGACAACGAGTCCCTAAAGAGAACCTAGTGGTTTTAAAACTAGTTTCATAAGAATAGGCACTCAAAGCCGCTTTCTCAACTGTGCCTGGATAACTCCACATGGTGCTTGAGAAGAGGACTTTTATGCCAAAACCAACTAGCCACGGGCAGCCTGGAACTGGCCTTCCCAAGGTAGGCAGTGCATCGGTCTCTCCCTGATAGCTTGCAAAAGACAGCGGAACCGTATCCTGCGATCCTTACTTCCTGTTTTCCTTGCTGGGACTCTTGAAGGCTTGCGCTTCCATCTCGCCGGTGTCGTCCTTTTCCGTGGGCCAGCAGCCGCTGTCCTCCCCGCTCTGCGAGGCGTCTGTGCCGTCCTTCTGCTTTCGACTCTTCTGCAGATCTGCCATGAAGTCTATGCTCTGCTTCAGGCTCTGGATTCTCTCCTAAAAATTCAAGGATATTCTTACTGTATGCTTGTCGTTAACTTTTAAAGTAGTGCAGCATTCTTCTCACAAGGGCTTATGCTCATCTTGTGACTGACTTGGGAAGATGAAATGTAAATACACCAAGAGCATTACATTCAGGCACCAGGACAGTGAAGTCTATCCTTTGACTCAGACAACTTAACTTCTAACCTACGAGGTGGCTTTACAATTTTTTTACATCATCAAAAAGTTCACAGAAGCGAACGTGTGAATAAAGACTAGGCATTCTTCGCAGTACTAAATTTAGAAAGTCAAGTTTGGTTTAATAGCATGTTAGAACTTTTTATTTAACAGAATGGCTTATCGTCTGAATTTTAAGAATTATCAGGTATTTTAGACCTACAGCACATGAACATGTGGTCTCCCTACACTGTGCATCACAGGATGGCCACTGGCGACCCCGGGGAAACATGCCTGAGAAGGGAAGGTGCCCAGCACAACTGCCTTCCCAGAGCATGTAATGGTTCTCACCAAAGAAACCTTGTTTCTGCTTGGTGACATCTGCTTAATTTTCCACCGCACTGATATGCTGTAAAGTTTTTGCTGTGGTTAAGGGCTTGAGGTTTCTGGAGGCAGATCTGTTCCTAGTAACGCCTCTGCCTCTGAACCTTGTCACAGCATAAAACATGGAGGGCAGTCTCCTTAGGGATGCGTAGCAACAGCAGGGAAGGCTTTTGCAGAATAATAGAAACTAGGAACTAGAAAGGGCCAGAGGTCATTCAAATAAGAACAATGTCCAGAAATGCTAAGTGACTCATCTAAGGTCACAGAACCAGGGACTAGGACCAGGCCCCTTGTTGCCCATGACTGGACTAGCAGTGCAGGCTGTGAGAGCCTCAGGAACATGGACCTATTATTCTTACTGAACTTTTATTTTAAAGTAATCTTAAAACTATAAACGTATTTTATTGTAGATGAAGATGTGAGTAGAGGAGAAAATAAAAAACCTTGTTAATTTATTATCTAGAGAGGAACAGGCTGTACAGCAGTGCAATGGCAGAGCCAGGACTTGAACCCTGATTAATTGGATTCCAAAGCCATTGTGCTACAAATAATACTGTTTTTACTATCATGCAGCATCCTCATGTTTATGTAGGTGATGAAAAGTTATTCTACATACGCCCATTCTTTATAAAAATAACATGTCTATTAATTGCCATTATTTGTGTGTAACTGAAAAAATAGAGAAAGACTGCTCTACAATCTTTACAATGAACATTCAAAACAATGATCTTGTAAAAGACAGACACCATTCGTGGAAGGGTGTATTGGGCTCTCCTGGGAGCACTGCTCTGTGAGGAGTTAACTCAGGTCTAAATTTAAACATGTAAAAATCACTGTTTTGAGGATCCCTCCCATCTAGGGTGGAGAGAATAGTCAACAGGAAGCTATAACACAGGATGGGTAGGGCTCCTCAACAGGAAGAGGTCTGAGAAAAAGGAAGATAACAGAGGGAAGGGAAAGTGGAGAAGAAACTGTATTTTCTGTGCCCCAGCCACCCCACCCCCAGGTAAAATCCAAGGGATACTGAAATCTTTCTCATATTATATTAACTACATTATTTAAAGACGGTAAATGATGATGAATGGCAATAGTGGTAAATCAAAGTTGATAAACTTACTTTGGATATGCTATCCCTGCGAATTAAACTTTCCCCTAGACATTCATGTACATAGTCTGGAGTGACCAAAGGCTGCAACTGCCAGAAGTACTTTCCTTCAAATGCGGTAACAATAAGCATCCGCAGGTTTTTAAATCTGGAACATGGCTTGGTTCTGAGCCTTTCTGCCAAGACTGGGGTAAACATTTTACATTCCCCTTTCCTCTGCAAATTTTGCCGAAGATGGGTAACTGAGTTACATCACAGTTTCCCAAGTTTTTAGGAAAGGATGGTAACTGATGTCTAAATATTAGGAGTGCAAGAATAATTGTCAATTCAAATGTTTTTCTTTCCCTTGTTAAGTGGATCCAAGAATCTTTCAGAGCCCGCACAGACACTCAGACATGTGCACACCACGGCAATTCTGTAATGTAAAATGGACACAGATGAGCACCATCAAAGCTGGAAAACCATGTGCATCTATGACTCATCCCTAGTGTCCTGTAACTCCTCTGGGTCTGAGCTCAAGCTCTTAATTGTGGCTTTTCTCCTCCTTGCTGTCCTATACCTACTCATTTCTTTGCAAAACCCCTCTCCTGCTCTGTCACAATCTCCTCGATGCCAGGTCTCGTCTTATGACAGCAGTTACTGCTAGCAACGATCTCAGAGGGCACAGGTCAAAAACCCTCTCCTGCTGCAGTGGTTGATGTCCTGCCCGAGGTCCACAAGTTACTGGGAAAGAGCCTACACTAGACTCACCTTCTGACTCCTGCTGTGGTAAGGAGTGTCTGTTAATTTCCCATCCCACTCAGAGCTGTGAGTGAAACTTCCATGATGTGACTTATCCCAGGAGCTCTCCTTTTCTCCCACAGCGATCACCTCAATTTACCCTTCAAGGTCTGTAGTCAGCCTTCGCTCCCAAATGACACCCACATAATTTCCTGTCACTGTCTACAGCATCTCTCTGGAATCTGTAATGTTTAAGCTGTCTCAGTCATGCAGTTTGATGGTGTGTCCGTGCCTCTGTGTGCATTTTTCCCACCTCGAAAGCCTCATTAGGCACTGGTGCCTACCCTTCACGGGAGGGACTGCTCCTGTCAAAGGCGGCTATGAGACAGTTCCAAGTTACTGCTCATTTGTGTGTTTTCTTTCTTTCTACTAGGATTTCCCGTGCTTCACCAGAACATCAGATCCCATCCCTACAAAGGGTTAAGAGAGCTTCCTCCTAAAAGGTCTCATAACTCACCTTATCAGCCTTACCCTGGAATTCAGGTTGGTGTTTCTTTCACAGAAAGTATAGGTCTATCTGGTGAGTATCAATTCAAGAGCCTCGTATAAATAATTACAAGTGAATACGAATATTTATTTGAATCAATTCCAAACAAGAATCTTCCTGCTTTAATTTTCTTCTTTATATTAAAATGTTTTCACTGAGTATTTCAACTTTAATATGACCTGCCTATACAATAAAACCAGTACCGAATTGGATATGTATTACTATGACCAAAAACAAAGGCAGAGAAATTTTATAATAATTATTACTTATGAAAAAGAATTTTCTTTACCTGGCTAAGAATTTTCATTCCTGAGTGTAACAGTTTCTTTGCAGCTTTATAGTAAATGGTCTCTGGTTTGTTGTAAATCATAGCATTAGTACACATAAGTTTGAAGTTGTCCTGCAGAGAGATTAAGGGGGAAAATGCATTAAAACAAAACAAAGTATCCTTCTTTTCCAATTTGAAATCATACAGGTCTTCAAAAAATTAAAAACAAAAAACCCTACCTTCTGCTTCCACTGTTTACTAAACAACACTAATAGCAATTTATTAAGTTTTAAGACTCACAAACAAAACAAATACTGCTAAATTAATTTAAATATCCTACTACATTCTTTTCCAAATTCTTAAATATTTCATAACTATATAAACTTCCGATACCAAGATGAAAATTTAAATCTTATTGCACATAAAATTAGAAAATACTTCTATCATATATTTAATAGAATAATCTTAACTGAGTTGTTAATTTAATTAAAAATATTACTCTTCAAAACACACCTTAAGTATCCATTTTTTTATGAATTAAATGTTTTATTTCAGATCTTGACTGAAAACTGGGAACAGGGCTAAATTATCACAATATTTCCTACTAAATCCAAATGAACTGAGCAAAAATGTTACAATGTTTACACTAATTTTCTTTTACCTGTTTGGGTGCTATTATAAGCTAAACATAGTTTACAGAATGTTGCAAAATCATGCCAAGGTGAAATAAACAATACAACCTCAAAGAGCTGAAACATGTAAACGGAGGAGCCAAATTACCAAAACCGTACTTTTGGTTAAAATTTCAAAAGACACAAATGTGCTGGAGAATGCAATTCCACAGCACATTTTCATGTTTAAGTAATTTTTACACTGTATAAATGTGAGAGTGATTACACCAAGGCCTTATTAAGCTAAAATGATAAAAACCAAAACAAACAAAAAATCTGATGTCCCTTCCCCTAAACCTAACTCCTCCAAACCCCACTATTTAATAATTAGTGATGACAGCTGAAAACAGTTAAATGGAAGGAAAACAGGTAGACTGGGCACTGTTTAACAGCACTTAAGAAGACTGACTCAAGGGTTACAGTAAATTGGTATTAAATTCAAAGTGGATGAGGTTTATTTGGACCTCAGTCCCTGGTCAAGTCTCTAACCAGTCAGGATTTTGCTGGGTCCTGCACCTCTGAGAATGTGATGAAAGCTATAGACCCACTCATTCCACAAGCCTGTGTGCGCGCACACACACGCACACACTTGAACACAGACTTTTTCATGTAATTTTAGCAGGTTCCTGGTGCCCCTAGGGGCTCATTCGTGGCTTCCCAAAGGACCCCAGGTTAAGTACCCTTGGTACATAGTCTGAAAAGCTTCCATTTCATTAAGAATTATTAAATATGTATTTGACGGAAAGCGAGGTAGGTGAGGAGAGACACAAGATGACTATTATTCGTACTAAATGACCACTGGGCCTATAACTGGCAAGAGTACTGGATTATTCTCCTGAGCACAGGTCTGATCAGCTAAGGCCATTTGTGGATTCCATGGATCTTAATACACTGTCATGTGCTAGGCTTTACTGGACTTTTGTGTAATGGCACTTGGTCATCTGAAAAGCTGAATGACCTTTCTGCATACTTTTCACATAATTAAAAAAATCTTGAACTGAATGAGCTGGATAAGCTAGTATTACTTGAGTTACAGAAAAAAATGTAGTAATGTAGAAAACTCCAAAGAGTTAAAAATACTTGTTCATTTCCATGATATGCCTCAACCACGTGCTCAGAGACTCAGGGGCATGCTTCTCTCTCCTGTCATCACAAGACAAAGATCAGAGGAAAACTGGTCACAAAAAGAAAAAACAAAACTGTTAAGATTTTTTTCCATTAAGCAATAATAAAGTAGGAAATATCCTGAAACAGTTCTAGTCTAATTTTCACCAGATGAAAAGTTGGGAAAAGTTTCCAGTTCTCTGAATACATGAGAATGCAATTCCAGTTTTTCAGAGTACTGGAATATTATCTACACATTCAAATTGATAAAGACAATTGAATGCTGGTGTTATTCATAAACCTCAGCTGACTGACATGTGGATTAAAAAAGGAGCACATAAGGATGCAGTTTACCGTCTTATTTTCCTTTTGTAACTGATTAGGGTCCAGCCTTTAGGTCAGGTGAACACTACGATGTTTATGCAGAAAAAATAGAGGTAAAACAGGACATCTAAACCAATTTAGTTTGTGGTGGTTTCGTGTAAAGCCAATTTAAAGAACATGTGGATCCTTTTCCGTGGAAGATTAAAAAGAAAAGTATCGCCTCTCAAATCAACGTATACCAAGACTATGTAAAGACAGAGAACACTGCAACTGTAACATTAGGCATGCACATCACCTTGGTGGCTTATAGGTTCCTTACTTGCAAGTTTTTAATTACCTTCCTTTTAAAGTTGAAGGAAATATGCTCAACAAATACCAAATGCCAAAGTGATCTATCTCAGAGAGCAACTGACTTTCATCAAAGTAGAAAATGAAATTAAACCTCTATTTAATATTTCTGGACCAGCCAATTTATTCTCTATTTTAGAAAATACACCTTAGATGTCTAGGAAAATAAACTACTCTAATTCAATTTCATTAAAATGTCAATTTTACCTATATTGATCTGAAATTAAAAATCAAGTACTTCCTGGCCTGCATGGCTCAGTGGCTGAGAGTCAACCCATGAGCCAAGCAACAGGTCACCGGTTCGATTCCAGGTCGGGGCAAATGCCCGAGTTGTGGGCTCCATCCCCAGTGTGGAAGGCAGCGGATTGATGTCTCTTTCTCATCGATATTTCTATCTCACTATACTTCTCCCTTCCCCTCTCTCTAAAATCAATAAAAAAACATTAAAATAAAAAATAAAAAAATCAAGTACCTTCTCATTTTAAAGGTTCAGAAAATATACTGTAGAACATATGAAGTTCCAAATTTTATTAAAACTGCCAAAATAATAAAAGACAGTGATGGCTTATTTCATTTGGTTTTGTATCTCCAAGCTCAAAAATGTTTTCAAAGGCAAAAATATACAAAGATTTTTGGATATTAAAGTAAACTTAATTCCTTGCAAAACAAAAGCTCAATTAGAAAGATTCTGAATACCAGACATGCATGTTTCCACCAAGATTTTGTATGTATAGGATCCAAGAGCTTGACTCTTAAATGAATAAAAGATGTTACATTGCATCATAGCTCTTTGTCCAGTCACAACACAAACAGCTATAGTTACCTTCAGCTCTTCTATGGACTGGTAGTCATTGTTCTTGATCTTTTCTTTCATAGTACTAAAATCCATTGGGTGTTTAATGATCATGGAGTAGCCGGGAGCAATAAAATCAGTCACAGGAAATGAAAAGAAAGCACTTGGGTCTTTTCTGTGAAGATATAAAAAAGGCAATTTTATTTCTACTATAAACAAATCTGCTGGTCTAGGAGAAGTCAGAAAACCCATCAGATGTAGAAAGAATCTGTAATGGGCTAACATGTTTTCCCCTGAGAATCGAAGGAGTGAGATATTATATAAGACAACTGCACTCTTAAACAGAGAATCTTCTAAAATATGCAGCCTAACCTAATCACTAACACCTCCTACACAGGGAAAAAGGAAACAAAATAAAAACCTAGCCTAACCGACCAACATCTTGACCTCTGGGAATTTAGTATTACGTGTTTTTATCAACCACGGGAAAAGGCAGAAACAGTAACTATGAATGTACACACACAATCTTCCACAAGGTTTCTAACTATAGGCGTGACCTCTGGATGGGCCACACAATTACTGCATCCCTGTGAGCATATATTTTTCTGAACTGATGGATATGATTTCCAGCACGTGTGTGTGTAGAGGGGGTACTCAAAAAATTGACATTAAAAAGGTCCTCATAACACCCCCAAACTTGAGAAACAGTGCTTTCTATCACAGGTTCGCAACTTTGTGCGTAAGAACCATTGGAGGAGCTTTATAACAATTCCAGTGGGATGGGGGAGGTTTACCTTAGACCCACGGCATCAGAATCTCTTGAGGAAGGAGGGTGGATCCAGGCATTGGTATTTCTAGGGTTAAGGATTGGTACTCGCACTGGAACATTTGGCATTGGTATCTCTAGAACTGATAGGGCTGAAAACCACTGTTTTATATGTTTAAGTCATCAGAGTGATTTTTTTCCTCTGGAAATTGGGCATACTAAAGATTTCTTACTCCAAATCATCATGACAATAAAAAAATGGCTTAAAAAATAATAGCAGCAGCAACTTTTAAAATGTATTTACCATGTGCCAGGCCCAGTGGTAGGTACTGGACGTATTTTATAGCTAATCCTCACAAAAGCCATCAAGTGGTATCTTCACTTAGAGATGAGGACACTGAGACTTAGAGGTCAAATCATTTGTTCTAGGTCATAAGTCTGATAAAAGAGTTAAAATCTGAACCAGGTCTATGTGAATCTGCCCTTGTTCTTCCCAGCACGATGCCCAAGCAATGAAACTGAAACACAAGCAGCAGCAGAAACATCCGGTCTAGAACTTACATGTAAACTACATGTGTGCTGTCCACAGCAATTACTGTGAGTCATATGTGGAGGACCTCTTCAGAGCAAATTATCTATACCCCCTAAGAAGAGTCATTTTAATACAGAGCCCCACCTGGTCTGACCAAAAACTACATTCCTAACCTGATCATTTATATTCTTTATCAGCATTAGTGCTGAGCCACAAGGATGAAGACTCATCCAATCACGACAGCTATTCAAAAATATGTTGCTCTGGACTGTAATCCCTAAACTGTCCCAAGCGACGTGAACATCCTCAAACTAAGAGAGTCCGACTTAAGTAGATTTCTTTTAAGGTGTCATCTTTAATCTATATTCTAGTCTTATAAGAAAATTAAAAGGCAGCCAGCCCTGGTGGATGTGGCTTAGTTGGTTGGAGCATTGTCCCAAAAGGTGGTGGGTTCGGTTCCTGATCAGGGCACACACCCAGGTTGTAGGTTCAATCCCTGTTTGGGAAATGTGTGAGGCAACAGATCGATGTTTCTCTCTCTCCCTTCCTCTGTCTGAAATCAATTAAAAAATAAAATAATTTAAAAAATAAGTAAGTAAAAGGCAGCCAAAACACTCTAGTCATACATTCTAATTGAGTTGAAATGTCCACTCTTTTTGAACAAGTAATGAATTATTTATTCAAGTGTAAAGACTTGAGATGTAATTTATCAACTACTCTGTAAAGCCAAAAAGGGGGCGAGGTAACTTATGATCTTAACTGCAAAGATGAATAGGTGTTGAATACAGATAGCACTAGAGGCTTTATCTTAAAAAGTTATTTATGTGTTCTGGGTTGACATGTGAGAACAACACAGTGAGAAGAAAGTTCACTATACGAATGCATGCCCTACACCCGTGAATCCTCTGCCAACGATGAAAATGTCTTTCAGCTGAAAGCTAAAATTCTGAGAAAAGAGAGGTATCAGAATAAATATTTTAATACAGACTGCCTTACTCTTTTCCCTTTCAAGAACATTGGTTTAATTAGATACTAAAATTTTTAGAACAAATTTCTGCATTTAAAAGGGTCACATCCTATTTATAGTATTCTGTCTCCTGTTCCAGACTCAGTAATTGCTGAACTCACAGCATTTTAAGCATTGCACAAATACACAGAGAGTATTTTTATCTATTAACAAAGTGGAAATATCTGTATTGTTTATTTCTGGCTTAAAGCTTTAACATCAGGAGTTACTTCAGATTAAGAAAAAATTTGCCATTAAGAGTATTATGTAACACTCTTCAAGTTGCCAGTTAAAACAAACTAAATGAGAACATCTAAAAGTCAGCCTCTTGGAGGGCTTCTATTGCCAGGCAAAATATTTATCATCCACTTTAAAATCAAGTACATTGGATTTAGGCCACGAAGTGTGGCTTTAAATAATCAAAATAGAATAGTGTTTTGGATACTATATTTCTCATTTCAATTTCCATGTTACAATAATACTAGAAAAACCACTTACCTTTGCAACTGTCTCATCAGTTGATTCAAAGCTTCTTGAAGGGGGGTCTGCTCTACTTCTAAAGCAAAGAAGAATGGAAAAGAGCATTTTAAAAAAGAAGACTGCTTAGCTTATTTTTTTTCTATATGACTTATCTCATATCCATCATTAAATATCTCACACAGAAATTCCACTTATTTTACAAATAAATATGAATTCAAAACTGAAGCTAATTTAAAGCTCTTATGTGTCAGAGAAATAAGAAAACTTAAAAAATTCAATTAAAAAGCTTTTAAACTTCAACTTAAAAGCTAAAAACCCAGTTCCTTTCCCTGGCTGTGCCCCATAGAACAGTATCAGCCTCCTCACTCAGGACAGTTAACAGTTATTCCAACCTTCTTGTTTGGCTAAAGAGCTCGAGAGAGGCTTCTCAGGAGGCAAGTCTAATCTTGCAGGAGCCTGGCACTGGAGGTCTTTTTCTGCCTCATTTTCCACACGGTCCCGATCTCGCTTCTTTCTATCTTCCTAAATGGAACAAAGGGAGGTAATTTAGAAATAAATATTTCAGAATACCATTAAAGCAAATTACTTTAATTTCAGCACAAAAAAATAAGATGCCACTGAAAATTCTTAAGAAAAACCTAAAAACAACCCCTAACGTATTTTACTGCCATCTACTGGAAAAGGAGAGAATAACATGTTCATGGGGGGAAAAAGTGATTTGACACTATATGCCAGGAATAACCACTTAGAAAAATAATACTATTCCTAAAAGCAAGATAACATACCTAGAAATAAATTTAATAAAAAATATCTAATACATTTGGGGAAAAATTATGAAATATCATGGAAAGGCCATTGTGGAAGATCCAAATAAAGGAAATATACCATGTTCATGAATTGAAAGACAGTCAATTTTCTCCAGAGTTATCTATAAATAAAATGTAATGCCAATCAAAACTGTAAGATGAGATTGTTCATGGAATCTGACAAGGCAATAGTATAACTTATCTTGAAGATTGAATCAGGAATAGTCAGGACAGTTTTGGAAAAGAATAAGAGTATCTTATCAGATACACAGTATTTGTATAAAATGACAGTAATTAAGACAAGGCGGGTCAGATACAGGGATAGACAAACAGACCAAGAGAACAGATTACAGAGCCCAGAAACAGACCACATAGATAGCAAGTCTGGGTATATCACAGAGTTGGCATCATTATAGGTCAAGGGCAAAGGGTAGTTAGTGCTGGGACAACTAGTTACCTACATGGAAAAAGAAAATAAAATTAGTTCTCTACTTTATACTATACACAAAAGTAAATTCCAGGTACATTAAATACTTAAATGTACAAAGCAAAGCTTTAAAACTTCAGATAAAAGAATCTTTATGACCCAAGAGTAGGGAAACATTTTCTTACCTGTAAACAAGCTAAAAGGCTAGCTACCGACTGAGATCAAATTCTTGAAATACAAATAATTCAAAGTATTAGCAAAGATTCTATAAAGAACATCTACAGATTCATGCAAAAAGGCAAATAACCGAATAGAAAATGGGTAAAGATTTCATAGGTTAATTCCTGAAATGTCAGGAAATATGAAAATTAGCTCAAGCTCCCTAGAACTCTAGGAATTATAAATTTAAAAACTAGAAGGCATTTCACATCTGACTGTCAAAAACTAAAATGTCTGTAAATGTCAAGTTCTGATGAAAATGTGGAGAAATGGGGCTCTCATACCTTGCAGATGGGTGAGTACATAGGTACACCCATTAGCAGAACAATTAGCAGCATCTAGCAAGGCTGAAGATTCTATTCTAAGTTCTTCTATTCCTGGGTTATACCCCAGAGAAACTTCTTTTCACACAGTACAGTTAAGCCTTGACAACACAGGTTTGAACCGCGTGGGTACACTTATATGTGCGTTTTCTTCAGTAAATACCTATGCTGTTTTCGATCCACAGTTGGGAGTCCCTGGATGGGGAGAGCCGAATGTACGCATTGATCTACGACATTTTTATATAGGGGATTTGAGCATTTTTGGATTTTGGTATCCATGGGGGTCCTGGAACCAATCCTTCCTAGGTACCAGGGGACAACTTAAGTTTCTGGGGAGTCAAGTTACATGCAGGAGTTTTTGACTGCAAGGTAGGGGGTGTACAGCGTCCCTAACCCATGTTGTTCAAGGGTCAACTGTATACAAGACATGTACAAGAATACTTACTGCAGCACTCACTGAAATAGTAAAAAATTAGAAACCACCCAATGCCTACTAAAAGATAAATGGGTTAATAGATTATGGCTTATTTACACAGCAGGTGAAATTAATAAGCTGAAGTTAAACTGTACGCGATCATCCTTGGGAGTGAAGTTAATTATTACGACTTTTCCCAGCTTCCAAACCAAGGTGGCAGTTACTTATTTTTATTACTGGTGTCATATCCCTTGAAAGTCTCAATCAAATTTTCTCTTCAGTAGACTCAAACTTTGTTTTAAAACATGGAAGCTGCCCGTTAAATATTTGGCATTATAGTCTTCATTCTGGGACAAAATGTGAATCTCAACAGATCCCACTGACGTCTGAAATGAGCATATACCATCGAGGACGGTCCAACAGCATCCTGGAGCCTGAGGCTCTCCCAGGTGGGACGGGCGCTCCGGGAGCAGCTCCGGACCCCGGGCACCGGCTGCGCACTCACCCGACGCGCGAGCACAGCGAAGAGCCTAATTAAATGGAAGTGCTGAAGCCCGCAGGTGCCTCGTGTTTCTGCTCGGCCCTGCTCGTCAAAACGAGGCGGCCTTTAAAGGCGTGTCGGCGGCTCGCGGGGCAAGAGGAAGAGACAGGCTGCACCGGGAGCAGGAGGCGGCGCAACCACCTTTACCTTCACGCGCCGGCGTTTCCTTCCCTTCTCCTCCCCGGGGACCTGCTTCTCGCCTTTCTTTCTCTTTTTCCGCTTTCTGTCCTTGTGTTTGTCATGATCGTTCTTGTCTTCGAAGAGGCTCGAGTCGTGCCCGGAGCTGCCGGTGGAGAGCTCGGTGACTTCGTTGCCTCCCACTTTGAGGACCAGCTTCAAGGGCTTCTCCACGTACTCTGGGAGGGGAAGGGGAGGCTCGGTC